ACACACCTATCCAACGCAGGTACAATCACGAAGATCGGTGAAGAACTCAGGAAGTAACAGTGTCTACAGCTGAAACAGGGCTCATTTTGCTCTACAGCCATGCCCCTCACTCTACACAAATGTGAAATAGGGCACACACACACATATACCTATGGCAATAACACATGGAACATGTTTCAGGATGATATTGAATATGACTTAGCACCTCTGCCACATGTGGGGGCAAGTGTACCATTCCTTGCAGGGTTGAGTGGGTGTTATGTGAAGAGGTTTCATCCCACACTTTGTAGCCCAGTGGTGCATTCTGGGCTCCAATGGAACATCTTCACCAATTCTGGGCCGATTCACATGGTTCTTTCTGCATCTTGTAGCTGTGTTCGAGGCGAGTTCTGATCGACTTCACAAAAGACTATCAGAGTATCACATATAATTGGATCGGGGGAGCAAGTGGGGGGACAGATAGGCGCATTACACTATCAAACATGTTCTGATAAGTATGATCCTTACATATCTTAGGGCCCTTGAGCAGTGCCAATTCGACACAGAAGACACCATAATGATATAATGGGTAGTTATGGAGGGGTGAGGCAAAGGTCTGCAAGTGTGCACAGCTGCACAGGAAGGTACAGAGGGCTGTTCTTGTTAAAATGACACCTAGAACACTTTTCCGTAGAGTAGAGGAAAAGACTGCAAGAAAAAGAACACTTATCGGAGCATATGGGAAGTGGCTATCGAGAGATCAAAAGCGCTGTGGCTGAAGCGTAATCAGCAATCTATTCCGTAATGAAGGGGTTTTTCTCCGATCGGATTTCGACCCCACTCATTGGAAGGCAATCCACACGGTATACAACAAGAACCAGGGGATTCCATCCACCAGTTCTGATTCTAGCAGATGCTCCTATCGGCCAAAACGGGGGTACATCTGTATCTCCACCAATACTGCTCCAATCAACATGATCTTGGATTTTTTAGAAAGCTATTAGATGCCTCTTTTGATAAGTAACTAGTGCCTGACGATTTCCCCACCCTGTGCTGCACCCCAGGCTGCCCATTTACTGGTAAATACTAGCTACTGCTCCCCATTCCAGCTGCTTATACCAGCCCAAACGTATCCTTTTAGCCATTCTCATCTCTAGCTAACCATTTATCCCCAATTCCAGCCCACTATACCTGCCAGAATGCCCATCTGTAGCAGTACCTGAACCAGGCTATTTATAGCTAGGTAGGTCCCAGTGGGACCCTGGTGTTAGTTATTACAGGCTGGCACATTCTGTAATATCTCCACGTCACTTTTAACAACCCAGCATCTTTTTTGACAGCCCCACGTCGATTTTAACAACCCCACGTCAGTTTTAACAACCCTACGTCAGTTTTAACAGCCCTGCATCCTTTTTTTACAGCCTCACGTCGATTTTAACAACCCAGCATCTTTTTTGACAGCCCTACGTCGGTTTTAACAGCCCCACGTTGATTTTAACAACCCTGCACCCTTTTTAACAGCCCCACGTCGATTTTAACAGCCCCACGTCGGTTTTAACAACCCAGCACCCTTTTTAACAACCCCACGTCGATTTTAACAGCCCTGCATCCTTTTTTTACAGCCCCACGTCGATTTTAACAACCCTGCACCCTTTTTGATAGCCCCACGTCAGTTTTAACAACCCCACGTTGCTTTTAACAGCCTCAGCACCAGTTATTACAAGACCCCCTTGCGTTGTTATTGTTAAAGACCTCACCACGTTTATTACAATAACAACACCCTCAGGAATAGCAAAAGCTTATTCCCATGTACCTGGGGCATTGTAATACAGCCGTGGTGACCACAGGTGCGTGAACGGGGGCGATACGGAATCCGGAGGCCTCGCGGGAGAAGGCTGAGGGCCTGGACGAGGCTGGGCAATGCGCGGGAGGGCCATGACGCGGCGGAGGCGAAGGGCGACGCGGAGGACATCCGGGCGGACGTCCTCCGCATCTCGTGGCTGTTTACAGGGCCGGATGGGTGAAGCTTTGAAGTTTGAAGGAGGGGAGCGGAAGAGCAGAAGACTCATCCCCAAATCGCGGCGTGAGCGATCCCGCCCACCCAGCGGCTCGCTCCATTTGGCGTCCGGGTCCGGCTATGCCGGGCCCGGGCCGAACCCTCATTGTCTGGTGTGCGCCCGTTGACCCGTTGACCCGTCACGCCGAGGCTGGATCGACTTTCCCTCATCCACGTGCTGGATAGGTAGCTATCTTGTGGGATGGCTTCTCCTCCGCCCGGGTTCTTTAACCCATGGGTCTAACTGCGAGGCATGTGAGGACGGGACGGACATGGGGACAAAGATGGCGACGTCATCACGTCATTCAAGGCACACCCGCAGGCAGGCGATGAGCGCTTTCACCCATTACTACTGTAGCGATGGGTCACTGGGCGCACCGTGAACGCCGCACCATGCCCCGGATCACCGCCGTGCTCGGCGTTTTCGATCGAACTAGTTTTCAGTTAGTAGACGGGACTGTTGTATATATCACACCTGTACTTACCTGCCCTTTGGAAGTCTTAGTCGTACAGACGAAAAATTTACCATCGCGGGGTATCGAACCCGTGGTGCGTTCGAGCAACCCGACGCCGTTACCACTGCTCCAAAGGGCCTTTTCCGTCCTTCCACTGTTAAATTATATGACATGTTTTTATGCCCCGGTGGCGTGGCGTGGCGCGTCTTGGATGGAACGCGTCTAATGATCCCGATTTCCTCGGAGTCGCGTCGCGCTCGCGTCTCACGCGCCGCCGGCGCCTTCGTCCTCGTGAGTCCTCGCGCGTCCTCTGCTTCGTCCGCTGCCCCCGATTCCTTGCCCTCTGCCTCCTTCCCCTGCCCGCCACCACCTCCACCTATTCTACACGACATGCCGCCCATGCTTCAAAAGCATCGCGATGTGCGCGCAGCCTGTTCATTCCTCCCTTTGCGCCCTTCTGACCCCCATTCACAGACTCTGTACACGCTCATGCACGGACCGGTCTTGCAATCGGTCCCAACCAAGGATCTGGTACAGGTAAGAAGAAGTCAGTTCTGTATCGCGAGGCTAACTGCGCCTGGTGCAGGCTATGCGCCTCGGCCTGGGGGCCGAGGTTCACGAAAACGGGGGCACCGTGAAGGTGTCCTTCACGCCTGGGAGATGTCGTTTCGACCTCAAGAAGTTCGCAACCGTCGGCTTCCACAAGGTGCGTCGTTTAGTTCTAGAGAGCGCATCTAAACTCAGGGATCCGCTTAGCCCCACGGCGGCAACGGGGCCAAGGGCAAGACGGACAACCGGCCAGATCAAATCCCAGCTCACAACGCTCGCATGTACGTATGGCCGTTTCTCGTTCTTCATTTCTCCCTGACTTTCCGTTTTAGTTCGGGAGTCTCAGTCGCCTCCCTCATCGGACTCAATAATCACATCACGGGCTGGGATAACACTGCCTGGCTCGACCTCTGTGCCAAGGACTGGTCGCCGGTTTAGGTAGCGTACGAGTAGAACTTTGGATGAATCGGAACGTAGCACCTTCAGTCTTAATTCTTGCTTTCTCATTCAACGTCGCGTACGTTACGTTTGCGTGTCCTACATACAGTTCCACCCGTTGATTTGATGGTTCATTAGCGACAACACTTGTATTTATCAACTTACAACATCCTTTGAATATATTTCGTTGCACCCTCTCCTACAAGTTCGTCAACCTCACCTCCGGGACAACGATCGGACCTGTCGAGTCCGAGTTTCTCGGACTCTGGCGTTCTTTGCGCACCCCCAGCGCCCGGGCCGCTCCCCGCCCCGGTTTTCCCGCGCCTCCGCTACGCCTGCGCGCGCGGCGCTCAAGTTCGCGACGCTGTTCCTCTGTCTCCTCACTTCTCTCCCTCGCTCTCTCCCTCGCTCTTCGCTCTTCACACTCTTCCCTTTGCTCTCTCTCTCGCTGCAGTCATCATGGCTGCGATGCACCCCGGCCACAGAGAGGTGAGCGTTCCATTCTGGTGCAGATCGCGCGTGCTTACCCTTTTCCGCAGGTCCTCGAGGCCATGATGCACACGAGCTACACCGAGATTCCGGTGGGCAGAATAATGGCGGTGAGCTCTCTCTTTCTTATCTCGCCCGCCGCGCTCACCTTCGCCTGCCAGGCTCTCCACCACGGCCTCGGTGCCGAGACCTTCCGGCGGGGGAACAAGATCCATGTTCGATTCCGCGCGGGCAGATGCCGTCTGCGTGGCGCCAACGAGCAGATCGAGAAGTTCCATACGGTGCGTCGTTTTGTTTTGCACTCTGTCTCGCGCGCGCGCTGACATGGCTCGACAGCCCCACGACCGTCTGGGCAACGTTAGCGGCCACCACTGTCACATGTAAGTCCATCTCCACCCTGCGCGCGCGACTGTCGACGATACTTGTGACAGAATTGGCCGTTGGATTATCAACACCTTCAACTTTGAAGGCCAGCGGTTCAAGCACTGGGAGTGGGAGCTCGTCTGTCGTCGTCCGTGGCAGGCACCCCCTTGAACGCCGAGTAGCCCGTAACGTAACGTACCGTAGTTTAACTCTTCGTAATGCCTTGAACCCCTCTTCCATCGTGTTAATCTTGAGAGTTCTAGTATTGGTTGATGTTCGGTCCTGTATAGTACTTGTATGTCGCACCCATCAAATATATTTCCTCTCCCCAAGCACGTCCGCTCCCGCTGTCATTGAGAGAGGATACCACTCATTCTGGGCGGCCACTGCAAGGTACATTGGCCGGACTCACCGGTAAACATTCTCCTATTTCCAGTGATATCTTCTGTTCATCTCATCCCGGGCACCCACAAGGCGCGTCCAGGGACTCCGGGGTTCTGTGCGCGCGCCCAGCGCCCGGGCCACTCCCCGCCCCGGTTTTCTCGCGCCTCCGCTACGCCTGCGCGCGCGGCGCTCAAGTTCGCGTTGTTCCTCTGTCCCCTCACTTCCCTCGCTCGTTCTCTCTTTCGCTCTCTCCATCGCTCTTCGCTCTCTCGCTCGCTCTCGTCACCATGCCTGCGATGCACCCCAACCATAGAGAAGTGAGCGTTCATTCTGGTGCAGATCGCGCGTGCTTACCTTTTCCTCAGGTCCTCGAGGATATGATCCACACACGCTACTCCAAGCTGACGCTTGGACGCATCGAGGAGGTGAGCAATCCGTTCATTATCTCTCACGCCGCGCTCACCTTCGCCTTCAGGCCCTGCATTACGGCCGATCGGACCCGCTGCCATTGCCCCTCCTAGCACACACCTCAACTGTACGCGTGAGCAGGCGCGGGGCCTCGTCTGCCTCGCCCGTATTTCTAACCCACCCGCGGACTTGGCTGGGGCTCGACTCCGATAAAATCGGACTTCCGTGCGCCCGCCAAGCTCCCGGGCCGCTCGCACTCCGGTTTTCCCGCACCTCCGCTACATCGGTGGCAGGCGCCCCGCGTCAACTCCGAGAAGCCCGTAGCACACCGTAGCGTAACTTTCTGTGACTCTACCCTACCGTAGCTCATCCCTTGTTATTCTACCATAATATTGCTCTAATAAACGTGAGCTTACCGTGCCATTTTATTCCGCCGTCCTCGGCACTTGAGTGTGGACGAGCAGTAGTGACCGTGCCGGTCAAGTACATGTCCTCACTCCATGCGTACACGATCATCAAAGCCTGTATAGTAATTATAACACCCGAATTGATATATTTGTTCACCGGGTAGGCCACAGTGCTCTACTGTTTCCAGCTGTTGCGGCTGAAAAGGGTCTTGCCGGTGGTCGCACGTGCCAGATCATTCACGCTGATACCTGACCAGATAACAGCAGGTCACGGTCGAGGGGAATCTCCAGAGCCCCCCTCTTTCCCTCCTACCATACCTCCCTCAACGACGAGGACGTCCGTGCAAACCATGGCTGGTCAGCTTGACGATACCGATGTGAGTACTTCCGTCTCACCCACAGCACCATGGATGGGTTCGATCTCACCCGCACTCACCCAGGATGCCATACACATCGCGCTGGCGTTCGCCATGCGTCAAAACACTTTCCTCGCTCGCCGCGTGGTGAACCTTCAACAGGAAATGGCTGCACTGCTTCAAAGAGTGCAGAGCCTCGAGGACCACAGCCCCGTCGCGGCCTCACCTGTCGTGCTCGCTCCGCCCGCCGTCACCGCGCCCGCTCCTCCCGCCGTTGTGCCTCCGCCCGTCGCCCCAATCACCCCCGCTCCCCCCGCCATCGCGCCTCCACCCGTTGCCCCCGTTGCCCCCGCCGTCACCGCACCTGCTCCCGCTGTCGCCGCGCCCGCTCCCCCCGCCGCCGCCGCCACCGCCGCTTCCGTCATCGCGCCTCCGCCAGTTGCCCCAGTTGCTCCCGCCGCCGCCGCCGCCGCCATCGCCGCCTGCTCCCACGCCCCGCCGCCCCGCCATCGCGCCTCCCATCGCCCCCGTCGCCCCCGCCCTCGCCCCCCTGTTCACCTTCTCCGATCCCGCCGTCTCTTCTTTAACTGCTGTGCGTGGTTGGCCGGACTACTCCCTTCGCGGACATCCCATGACGGTCTACAAGCAGTGGTGGTTCTCCCCCACGCCGCTTCTCGATCTCCGCGACCGCACGCTCAAGCGCTACGCTCCCTTTGAATTCGACAACGGCATGAGAGCGATGATGGGCCCGGCGGCGGAGGACGCGGAGGACAATCGTTTCCAGGCGATTCAGGCGAACGCAGCTGCCATGGGGGTCCGAGTATGGGCCGATCCCAGTCGCCTCGACTTTGGTAACTGGGCCGACGCCTGCATCATCACCCTCAACGCCGCCCATCATCTGCGGCTCACCGCCCTGGACGGTAATCCGCATGCCGCGAAGGCTTACTTCGCTATCTACTTCTTCAACGTCCACGGGGTGCTGCGGCGTCACGAAGCCGCTCGCTACGTCGTTCGACACTACGCTGAAGACTCCCCTTACCTTCCAGACGACCCCGAGCTGCGGATCATCAAGGGTCTTGCACGGAAGGGCAAGGCGAAGGCCAGGGCTCGTGGGTTCCTTGCAGGAGGGGGGTTCGCTCCAGTGCCTCTCACGCAGGTATACGCTGCCACCGATGTCCCTTTCCTCCAAGGCTTCCGCTACACCTACGACAACAACTTCTCCGACGAGTTCGACTCGGACCAGGAGGACGTTGTTTTGGGGTAGGGTCTGGCAGCAGCGTTTCTGGCGAGGAGGGGGCCGCTGAGCGAATGAGGTCCCAAGTTTAGTCGGTCGTGTACATGCTTTCATTTCCTCCTTGTGTGCCTCACAATGTAACGTTTTCACGAATCCACTTAACGACCGGTAGGCCGAACCCACCGCCCTTGCCGCACGTCGTTTGGACGGCAGTTCACTGAAAACCCGCCGGCCCGAGTGCACCGCCCTTCGAGCATCTTCTAACCCGGAAGCTGCGAATTTGGAACCATTAGAAGACGTGCTGCAAGTGCGCGCGCACCGAACCATTTCAACCGCACTTCCGGATCACAGAACGGCTGCCACGCCAACGCACTCACCCTCATGGGACATGCGGTACAAGGTCTGATAACGCGCACCATCAGAATCCTCTCGTCCTTGTCGGGAACTGTCAGAATACCCCCGAAGTTGGGTCCGTCTCGTCAATCCGGTCTCTTTCAACACCCTGGTAAGCAACCTCGTCCACGGTTTAGGTTGGCGGTCGCAAAACCTTCGATAACCGTCAGCGGGCGATGAGGTCGACCGCTGATGAATGCGTCGGGCTGAAGAGATAGCGGCGGGGGCTGACGGTGCCAAGTCTGCGGCATGGCCCCGTGGGTGCGGGTCCTTACTACGCCGAACCGAGACCCTTGATTTCATCGGTGTTTGATCTCTGAGAGAGATGCACTTGAGGTCAGTTGCTCGACCGGTAGTAGTAGGCCCTCACCGCGCCGAACTGAGACCCTTGATTGAATCGACGTTCAAATCTCGATATCTCGGAGAGATGCACCGACGTTTTACGACATATGAAATCTGTGAAATCATATCAGAGGGGTATCAGTTCAGGGGGTCCATTTGAAAGACACTCACATTCTGATCGAGCGCGTCATTCATCCCAAGCTCTCACTTCGTCCCTGCGCTCTCGTCCCTTGTTTCGCGCCGCTAGACCCATGCCACGCGTTGTGTCCTACTCTGGCTTAGGACAAGACGGCGGAGCTAGAAGCCCAATATCATTTACGTCATTATATGTACGCCGCACCGGCATGTGTCTACGTGTGCTCCCTTTGCAACTGCGCCCGATCCCGCGACAGCGACTCCCTAGTAGACAAACGCCCCAGTTGCTCATCGCGCCGATTGTTAATTCCACCCTCCTTCGCCAACCTCTCAGCCTTATCCGGGCCAGCGAGTGTGAAACCTAGTTGAACATGCCGAACGAGTCCACCGGGGACGAACTGGGTGAATGAGAAGCGCTTCTGCTTCGGATCCAATAGTCGAGTGTTACCGTGGCGGAGCGCCGCAGAGCATAGCAGCGCCGTGCAACCGGGCGGGAATCTAATGTACAGGCGGAGTTGAGGGAAGTATAGGTGGCCACCGACGTTGGGATCGAAGTCACCCAACGCGGTAAGAACGCAGGGACACCCTGGGTAGTTCAGCATGTCGAGGTGATCAACGCAGGCGGTGTGGGGTCCTAGGTTGGCAGTGCAGCAAGGATACAAACTCGCGCCGGGGAAGTTGGGAAACATCCCCGGCTCCTCCTCGTAAAGTTTCTTCATGGTGTCGTGGAGATGGCCATAAGCGAGGGGGAAATAGTAACAGAGGGTCTCTGTGGATGTGTGAGCGATGGACTGGGCGAAAATTAGTTGCGCGCAGACTCACCGTTCTGCCACTTCGCTAAGCGCCGCACGTCCTTGTCTTTCCGAAAGCGCGCCTCGACATCCCTTTCCCATGTCTTGAAACGTTTCCCAAACCTTATGGGTTTCTGCGAACGCAGTCAGCGAAGGGTCAAGACCGCGACAATTTTAGAAAACCACTCACCGTGCATCCATTCGTCATTGTAATGCCGGACGTCACCGCTGCGAACCTCCCGCGCCTAGGCGGGACTTTGCCGCTAAAACTGGCTTGCATGTCCTTGGAGTGTTGTTCGCCGAGGTTGTTGAACAGGACGTTGATCCTCGTCACCGCGTCCATGTAAGTGTCACCGTCGCTCCTCCCCCCCCGATCGTTCGGTGGGGGAACTAACGCTATCAAAATCTTGTCGGTCTTGTCGACGACATGGTGCACGGTCCTGAAAAGAGCAGGTAAGCACGCTCTACGGAACCTTCGCACCGTCGCACATACTTTCCGTCCCATATGATATAAGTGTACTCATCCTTGTCTAGTTCTTGCTGGGTAGGCGGCTCGGAGTACGCTTTCGGGGTCCTCTTGTCTACACCCTCGTACGCGTAGCCGGTCACGTGCAGGTCTGACGTAGCGAAGGTGCGAATCAAAGTCTCTGATGATCCCAGGTGTTTTTCGGGGAATGCGGAGGCCGTAGGTATCTTCGGGACAAAAATCGACGCCCGGTTCTTACCATCGTCACAAAAACCTGCAAGTGCGGCTTCGAGCGCCTGCTGGGCTTTCGCCTTTCTGTTTCTAGCTCGCTTCTTCGCTGCAGAGGTTCTTTTGGATGGCCCTGGGTGACTGGCGTCTGGGTCTGGGGTAGGGATATCGCAGTGGTACGCGGTGGCGACGGAGGGGACGGAGGGGACGGAGGCGGCAGCGGAGATGGAGGGGACGGAGGCGGAAGCGGCGAAGATGGGCACGCGAGTCGTGCCGTGGTACGGTAAACAGGACTGCGGTATGGCTGGTGCCAATGGATGTTTGAATTCTATCGTGTCCCATAGCTGTCGACACTCACCTACTCCCCCATCTGCTCTCTCCTTGCTTCTTCCTGAAAGCGACAATCCCTGGAGATATTCTCGCACCACGCGATCTTCTTCCCCAATTCCATCGGCTTCTTGCTGCAAGTCTTCCAGGGCGTCGTTACTTTCGATGGCGTCTAAGAGACCGTCTGCCAGACTGAACGTGTCGGCGACGCATGCGATTCCTTCAGAAACGGTGTACAGCTGATATCCATACTCGCATCCGGAGCGAGTATGGGGTGGCTGAAGCAAACGATCAGCTTCGTTCTTTCCGTTGTACGTCAGCGTGCAACCCTCACCGACGTTGGGGCCGCGCTTGACACGGCTGGCGGCATCATTAAGCCTAAGACTGCACCGACAGAATCAATGGACAGAGCGTCTGGAAGAGAACATGACTCACTGGGGTAGGAGAGGGCGGCGTCGACGCGGCGACTGGAGCAGGAGACTGTAAGCGTCATGCAGGCGGAGAAGACACGGCGTCGCGCGCGCGGCGTCGGGGCAGCGATAGGCCCAGGGGAGTGCGCTGATGGCGCCCGTTCGTACGCGCACGCGACGCGGATGGGGCAGTGAGGCAAGGGAAGGACTCACTGGGGCAGGAAGAGATGTCCACCGTCGAGCACAGGCGAAAAAAGGGCGCGCAGTGTATAAACGGCAACACGGAGTGCCTGTGATGGGAGTGTGGACGCAAAGCAGGAAGGGGCCTTGGGGAAAGGTGAACGTAGCGGACAGACTCGCGCTTCAGAGAGAGCGAACGCAGGGCATTGACTTGGGGCTTGCGAGGAGCTATGGACATCCGTCAAGAAAGATGAGTTCAATCGAGGACGGTTGGCGTCGGGCGTCGAGCTGCGGAGCCTCTACCATGCGGTCGAATCATATCCGAAGCTGCCTGTACCCTCACCAGGATGGCCTGTAAACATGCTGTCAACCTTGTACATACGGCACGGTTGTGCATTCGGTCCTTCGATGATGTGCCAAGAAGCCCTCAAATCCCCTGCCCCCCGTGCCCTTCGCCCTGCTCTCCCTGGTGCCCTTCGCCCTGCCCTCCTCGGTGCCCTTCGCTCTGCCCTTGCCCACAGGCCGCGCGCCCTTCAACCCTGCGATGGAACGCCGTGCCCAACCCTCTGCCATAAGTCATCCGGAGCATAGCACCTGCATTTGCGGCGCTCTAAGGTCATCTTTTGGCGCGGATGGATATGATAGTACTTACTTAGCTTGCGGAAGACAACGCGGTCGGTAGCGGCATCTAGCGCGTCTAGGTGGGCGATGGGCTCTGTGCGGTCCCTTAACGCAATGAAATTGGCCCAATGCCGTTCGCAGGCCTCTCCTTCATTTCTTGCCCACCGTAGGGGTCGTCGCGGTCTATATATCACCATCTACAGCAGATGTCGGTCAGCGTGCAGGTTGAGGACATCCTCCAGGCAGGGGATGCGTTCTGTGGCACTCACAGAGTACGACGCGGGATCTGCGGGCTTCTGAGAGAGCGATAATGGACAGCGTGGGCGGATGGGGAGTTGGACGGCGGGCTGTCTCCAGCGAAGCATCAGCGCATGTTGGCCGTGCTCTCGCCGTCACGTCACATGATTGAGACCGACACGACGGCATGCAGCCTTTCACGAATCTACAGATCACATCCAGCCATCAAGGGGTTGCCAAGCGTATCTACTGCCCTAGGCCCCGCGTCTCGTAGCCCCGCACGGCCGCACCGTTGCCCGCGCCTTGCGCTGCCCGCGATGTCCAATCGTCCTCGCGCTCTCACGCCGGAATTCCCAGGCCCTGTGATAGCGTCAGATGCGCGGAAACCAGCAAATTGTGTCGCGTACATGGTTGATGTCGGCTGGAAATCGCTGCAGTGCATCGAGCCGCAGCTGCTCAAAGCCATAACTTCGTCTGCTACGGACATTAGCTACGGCGTGCGATGTGAAGCAGGGCTGGGACTCACCCTCGATGATATACCGCCGCGCCCTCGTCCCCAGCAATATCCAACTGTATGGCTGAGTCCCGCCACCGTTGTCTCTCGACGGTCCACATTTGAAGCGTCCGATACATCTCCTCGCAGCGAAGATGTACTTCCTCTCCCCAACGATCCCGTGCCGATCGCGAGATGAACCAGAACACCTTGAGCTCTGCGGGCGGTTGACTAATATGTCGTAAGATATGCGAACGACGAGAACTCACTAGCAACCGCAAAAGCTTCCTGGTCGGCATTGGCGAAGTCACGAGCCCAAGTTGCAGTGGACCATAGCCAACTAGGCACCCTTTGAGTATCCCCCGCGTTTCGCTGACTGTGAAGCACTGTGAAGTGTCTGAGGTCAACGTTTTGGAGAACACGATACTCGGGGTCGTTGGGCGGCATTCCTAGTCGGAGCAGAAGGGTGCGGAAGCGATTGTACGTGGCCCGAGCGTCGAGCACTGCCGAGTTCAAGGGCATCGGCTTAGGTCTAGGAGTGGGGTTGGAGTGTGCCGACCGGTGGCGGCGCTTGTGATGGCCTTGCGGGTCGTCGTCGCGGAGATCGTTGATGGAGTGACTCAGAACCACTGCCTTGCGCACGTTGTTCAGCGCCTCCGACGCCTGAGCCTCGCGGACCGCGCGTTCAAGGCATGCGGCAGCTTCCAGGAGAGGATGCGTGCGCAACGCGAAGTGGCAGTTAGAAGGGAGCAGGATATCAACAGCTTGCACTCGCTCAGCCCATTTGGCGATCGTTGAGTCATAGATCCGCGGTTTCGCCCGGATGTTTTGCTTGCTGACGTGTTCGAGAGGGTGACATTGGGGAAAGTGCGGGGGGAGGCCGTCGCCTTCAGTTCGAAGACATTCATGGATAGCTTGCTGAATGTCAGAGCCGAACGCTTGGTTATAACGCTTCAAACAGGCGGCAGACTTCTTCAGAAACGCCTCGGCGCGGGCCATGCAAGCCTTGCGGTGTTTCGTGTTGCCACTGTTGCCCGCATCCAGTAGTTCAATTTCTCGGACGAGACTTTCCCTGATGAGATATGAATCAGTATCGAGCGGTGGCTCGCCATAGATACGAGGTCCTCACTTCTCGTCAGCGATATGGATGGCGTCTATGAGCACGTGACTCCACTCGTTCATTTCCCCTGGTGGAATCGAGGCGACGGGTGGCTTCAAGGCCGCGGCCGAGAGGAAGAACGAAAGGTCTGTCGAATTTCCCATGAGTATATGCAGAATTTAGGGTTATGAACGCGCCTGTCTGACCGTGTGCGACCTTCGGGACGAAAGGATTGAGGATTGACCGGTGTTTCGCCGGATCAATAATCTCCTGCAGCCACACGTCAAGCTCGTCACGCCAAACGCGCAGGATATCCTGGGGAATTGTCGCCTCTAAGGATTTGAGGAACGCGCTATGGGCCGCTTCCCGAATGACGGCTTTGTTGTGACATTTCACCAGGAAGCGGTCTGTCAGCGAGCGCGTGAATATGCGTCAGCGCGGGACTCCAAAGTAGGCCAAGGTACGAACTCATGTTGAATATCTTGCACTGGTTCATGTCGTCGAGAGCAAGTGCGAGGGTGTCCTCGCGGTTCGCGTTGTTCATCTCCTTGGTTCGGTTGGAGATATTGTTGAGGCCAGACCATACCTGTTCGCACTCCTCGCCCCCCGTGCGCGCCGCCCCGAAGCGGAACATGGAGTTTAGTTTCGTGTGGCAGTCCTCCTTATGAGCTCGAATGTGGAAGTCACCGATCATCGTCTCGATGTCTGGAAACACGCCGGTCTTCGCGATCGTCGATAGCTGCTCGGCGTGCTCCTGGATCTCCTCAACGCGCTTCTTCAGGTTGACACTCAGGTTGCATCCGACGTCATACCAGAGCTTTACGGTCTTGAGCGACTGAAGGGATTGTGAGGCCGACACCAAGGCGAGGTGGATGTAAGCGAATCTGGTGACCGCATGGCGCGTTAGGCTCGGAAGTGTCGGAGTAATGCATCGTCTAATTTACCTTTCACCCTTGTTCAAATTGATAGCGCTACCACCAGCCACGAGGCCATGACGGCATACCATTGCGATCACGCCTGTCACCGGGCCCGTGTAACCGCCGTGGCCGCTTGCCTTGAAGTTATGACAGTCCTCGGGCTGCGTTGAGGATCAGTCGCAGGGCTCAGGTCCGACAGTGGTCACGCACCTCTTTGTCCTTGTCTCCAACGCGAGCTAGATGCCTTTCGACGTCCGAGGAACTCGTGAAGTATGATACGTCGCCACAATACCTCCTGTCGCGAGCGTCGGTCGGTTTGGGTCGCAGGTGTTGTCGAAAACACCCGTCGCCCTCGAGGAACCATTCGTCCAAGAACCTTAAAGGCCGTAAGTACATAGCATTGAGATACATGCAAGAACGCACCTGAACTTCCGATCTCTGAACTCCCAGTTCTTACGCATGTTCTTCCCGGGATTTGGACAGGCGGAGCAGAGAGTGACCATGGCGTTGTGTTGGAAAGGGGCACCGGGTTTTCGTCCGTGTCGCATGCAGCATTGGAGGTACCCATACTCGCGCAGGGTCTGCACCAGTTCCCTCTCGCGATCCTGTTCATAGAGCTGCGCGTTACAACCAGTTAGGTGCGGGGTAATGGGAACAACTCGTACCTTCACCTTGCCCGGCACAAACCTGTTGGTCAGTCGACGAAGGATCAGGTATATGTCGTGAACGCTGGATTGTGCTTGCAGGAGTTGGTGTTCGAAGACCTCAAGCGCTTGAAGCGTGTACGCGGTCTGTGGCCAGCCGTCCCAGGTTCCAGGGAAGAGTCCGTGTTGAAGAAGTTGTAGGGGGTAGGACAAGTACGTGCACTGACAGAACTGGACCGTCGCACGCGCGATGATGCCGTGCTCATGGACAATGGTAATGCCTCGCTTATGGGCATCCTTAGACTTGCAAACCTCTCCGGGCGCGTGACTGAGATGGAGGACGAAGCCCAGCTCGAAAACGTCGGTGGGCAGCCACGTACCCTCAAGTGCATCCCAGCGAAGCAGACGGTGGTAAGTACAGAGCACGTGAGCAGAGATGGCGCATTCTGCACAGAGGTTTGGGTGGTGGACGCAGTCGTTGCATCGGTAACGCGCAAGAGGATCGTTAAGAAGGGTATAATTCCCGTGGAGACGACAGTTTGTGCACGAGTCGCTGGTTCTGGGCGGAGGATTTCCATTGAGGAGAAATTCATAGGCTTCATCTGCCATGGTGAGGAATTTTGCGCTTCGTTTGTGAGGAGGCTAATCCGTGCGTTATAAAATGGATGTATCCGAGCAGGGACGGAAACTCACAATGGTGTTGTTGGCCTTCGGCTTAGACCTCTCGTCGCCTTCGCCCTCGTCCTCGTCCTCGTCCTCGTCCTCTCCTTCACTGGAAGTGATGTCGCTTTCGGACTCGCTGACGTTCTCGGAGCCCTGCGGGCCAGCGGGGAGGCTCGCCCGCTTACGGAGACGAGCTGGCAGAATCGGTGGCCGTCCATCCATATCATCATCTGGGATACAGAGCGCTTTTATGACCGACCGGTGACCGAAAGAGTACGTGTGAGGACCGAGTTTTGGACGGGAAGGAGGCGGTGGAAGGGCGACGGGGGGTAGACGCTGATGCTGGGGAGTGGTAGGAGAGATACGCGGACGCGCCTGGGCGCGTTCTCGTCGTTGAAGGAAAACGTGGCGCCCTTCGTTTTCCGTTTTTTCGGAGTGCTGGCCGACGGAGGAGGCATGGTCAAAGGAAGTTCACAAGGAGCGACGAAGTGGAGGGGCTTGTGCCGGACGTACGACGCTATGTGACCACTTGCCCGATGCGCGGGCACACGTCAGGCGCGCCAATATTGGCCAGGATCGCGAACACCTGGATTGCCGCCAGGGACTAGTCTGAGGAACTGCGTTTCCAGGGGGATCGAGCCTGCTCGGGGATCAAACCAGGCGCGCAATCATCCATCGAGACATGTCGGTGGCCAAGGTTCGAGCGTCAGGGTAATCGTGGTTGACTCAGTCCAGTGCTGCGTGCTGCGCTGAGAATCACAGGCAGACGTCGGGGGTTTGGTTCGAACGGGACTAAAAGCCCACTCGGGACATGAACCCGGCGCGCAATCATCCGTCGAGCCACGTCGGTGGCCATGGTTCGAGTGTCAGGGTAATCACGGTTGACGTAGTCCAGTGCTGCGTGCTGCACTGAGAATTACAGGCAGACGTCAGGGTTTGGTTCAAACGGGACTGAAAGCCCACTCGGGACTCAAACCCGGCGCGCAATCATCCGTCGAGCCGCGTCGGTGGCCATGGTTTGAATACCGAATGGATGGCACGGTGGCAGTCAGGGAAAGCGCCGGGCGTGTGAGTCTATCGGCCATGCGATCAAACCTATCGTCCGGCCCGCCCCGGGCCCGAAAATGAACATCGAGAGACGCTGGAGACTCGTCTCCTCTTCCCAGCCTGTTTACCTGTCACTGCGCCCTCCTACGTTCTGCTTTTGACTCAGGTAAGCGTCGCCTTACCTTTGTCGAGTCACCTGCAATATGCAACCCTGGCGACAGTCAGCGAGTGGAACACTCGTCTGCGTCGCCGGGTGGGACGAAGGCCGTCAGAGTAACTCTGCACGCGTGCCTTTGTCCGGGGAGATCCGATGACGAGTGCTACGCTCGATTTGACGGTCCCGCACCGCAGTCTTAGTGCAACCCTGGATGGCGTCATTCCCGTGTCGGGACGTGCGGTCAGCGGCTCATTTCGCCCTCACAGGCCTTCATCTCGCTTCCCTCCCCAACCCTTGCGACATTCAGCTGTCCCACGCCGATCCTACGTTTTGCTTTTGACTCAGGTAAGCGTCGCTTTACCCTTGTCGAGTCATCTGCAACATACAACCCTGGCGACAGTCAGCGAGTGGAACACTCGTCTGCGTCGCCGGGTGGGACGAAGGCCGTCAGAGTAACTCTGCACGCGTGCCTTTGTCCGGGGAGATCCGATGACGAGTGCTACGCTCGATTTGACGGTCCCGCACCGCAGTCTTAGTGCAACCCCGGATGGCGTCATTCCCGTGTCGGGACGTGCGGTCAACGGCTCATTTCGCCCTCACAGACCTTCACCTCGCTCGTGCTTCCCAGCCCTTGCGTCTGAAAAATGCCCGAGCAATCCCCGGAACGTCATTCCACACAGCATCGGTCCGTCTCTTGGGCACCTCGTATCCCCGTGGATACCGCCGAGAACACCACAACTACGCCGGCTTTACGCTCAAACCAGAGTGCGAGGCGTACGTTCATCTCCCCAGGTTTCCCGATGCCGACTCTGATCCTTAGATGTCCAGTGCCCACCGTGCATGGCCCGTTTGATGGCAAAGTTGCATCGAATGATGGATTCGCTTCACTGGTGATGACGTCACCCAACCAGGACTGGATACCCGCGCATCCAGTCGAACGACCCGTTGTGCGGACGTATACCGACGGGCTGTGGGGTGAACACGAGTACTCGCGTGGCCTCAGCCCTTGGTGCGCAACATGTGGCACGTACCCTGCATTCCATCCAGCCGTCATTCTGCACCCCACGTCCCTGCCGTTCTGTGGTCGATCTTGGTGCCATCTCGAGATTGGGAGGAGGAAAGCAGCGTTGGGGTGCCTGGCCTCGGTTACCTCAAACACGATCTCCGTAGTCATCTCGAGAACGCCGGGCGCCACGCCATTGGGGCTTTCAGCTCGCTGCAGAACATCCCTCCACAACGCCTCGTATACGGGAATCAACTCTGTCTCGTTCTCGGACAGTGCATGGACCGCATGAACCGTCTCCCGTCTCACGACGTGGTATCAGTGGCTGTGGGGGCACACGTTCAGCGTGTGGCGCTCGAACTCCTCGGTCTTCACCAATATCTGACGGTCGTCCTCCCCCGATTGGAATCAACCGGCGATTTCAGCGCGCAGATCCTTCCTGTGCTGGGGGTAATTGCTCAGGATGCGACCACTGCGCAGTTAGCCGCACGCATAGGACTTCCTACGTGGTTCTTACAGCCTCTCACGAAGCAGGTCAAGATCTGGAAGGTCGTTAAGTCCACCACCCCCTTCTTCCTATCCGGGACAGAAACATCCCCGCCCATGCGACACCATCCTGACGAGCTTGGTGCCATCGCTAACTTGACAAGCAGCTGGTCATCTAACCTTGTGTTTGCGGTGACCGGCGATCTCTGCGCCGGCAGGCTTCCTGCTCTCGAAAGGGCGCTGGAAAGTCACGTGAACGACAGCGGGCCGTCCACCCAGGACGGCGGGCCGATGAAAACTCGGCGCGTGGAACTCAAACCGATCCCCACGCAGGGGACCATCGGGGGCGCTCTCGGGGGCAAGTCCAGGAAGAACAAGCGCGGAGGTCGACGAGCCAAGGCGCCGCCCGCAACGGGGCAACCAGGAACTCAGCCTGGATCAGCCACGCCAACGGCGATCGCGGTCGACGCGCGCCCGCTTTCGGCCGAAGTCCGGCATCCCTCGCGTCACTTCACCGACCCCATGTTCGTCTCCGCCCCAGAATGTTGGAGGATCGCGCAAAGGGCGATCAGCCCTCTTCCTCAGCCGCGTCAATCGGTCCATTACTTCTATCCGCCACCGTTTCTCCTCGACACTGTCGCCCGGGATGGTCCTCTCCCCGACGGTCTTGCAGATGCAGAAGGCGTTCGGCGCGACGACAAGGTCAATCGCTACCTACACAACGCCGTGCGTATCCGAGAGTTTTGTCGATTGCGTCTCCTGGACATCGCCTTGGCCGGAGAACCTCTTACCATCGCCGAGTGGCGCGCAGCGCTCTGGGGTGACTACTGCGAGGTCGACACTGGCCTGGCTCCGGACCTCGCTGCCCGCGTCAAGCGAAAGCTGTCGGACAAGAACGGTGTCGCGCGTTTGTTTGGTACCAAAGCCGCTCTGCCGTCGTACTCTGAGGATCAAACCATATCATTCGCCGGCATGACCGTATCGCAAGAGACCGCGGTCACCGATCCAAGGGTACGCCTCAGCCTGCTCTGGGAGTGCCATGAGGTCAACTTCAGATGCGAGCTGATGGCGCTGGATTCTGCCTTGGTTCCACGTGCGGGGTGGCCGGTCGTCCACCGATGGGCCCGCGAGGCGTTCGTCGCCGGTATTTGGGGCGAGGGAGGCTCCCTGGCTAGCGTGATCCCTCTGGAGACCGACACCGGGTTTTGTTGGCCGTCGGGTCGAGAAGACGGGTGGCAGGGGAGCACGAGAAACCTTCGTCGTTTCCTAGCGGTGCTTTCCTCGTGGCCGGGATGCCCAGAAAACATAAAGTCTGCGCGGACGGCTGTGGACTGGAGTTCGGACGATTACGATGTCTTCCAACTCGCTGCAGCGAGGTTCTATACTTTACAATTCGCTACGATGTTTGGACGCATGCCGATATACCCCGTGCCCAGACCTACGGATGGATAGAGGTCTGATGTGACGGCGGTTATATCTTGATGATCTTGGAGGGCCGGTTTATGGGGCGCGCGAACTAACTCTTTTTCGGGATGGCAGGTAGGCGGCCGTCATGATGTAATACCTCGATACGCTTACATATGCCGACCGTACTCTCCGTGATTGTTTTCGTAACCGTTCATCTACTTGCGCCCGCTCCATACGCACCAACGCACAGCGACCACCAGAAATGGACGTCAAGATCACAGAGCATGACAGACTGAGCGGTTGCGACATTGCCTGGCTCGACGACGCGCTGCAACGGCCGCCCATCGCCGGGGTGCTGCATAGCCCTTCCTTCACCCGGTTTCTCTTCGTCGACTACGCCCCCACGTCCGAGCACACAGGCTCCCCACCGTCAAACACCCCCAGGACTATCAGTCGCTTTGAGACCGCATCGTATCTCTTGGTGGCTGCGTACCGGGAGGAAGAGGTAGGCCGGCCGCCAATGGACGTCGAGGATCACGCAGGATGGTGGGGGAAGCGTAGATTGGTACGTCGACGTCACATCTCGTTCTTGTCGAGAGCTCACACCGCAGCTTGTCTTAGCTGTTCTACACGTATATCTACGCCAAGCAACCCTCTCGCTACCTTAAGTTGACCAAAGAATCGGACTGGCTGACCAAGGTCGATTTGGAGTGGCTCAAAGGTGCCGTGCAGCAGTCCGATGTCGCTCGTATCTTGTGCGCTCCCGACACTAGCCGATTTCACTACCTCGACTACGTCGCCTCCGATCTCGAGGCCGAGGTCATTGCCCTGGGGCCGGACGCCGGGAAGGACTTGGGCCGTTTCAAAGCGGCATCGTATGTCCTGGCCCGGGCGTATCGCAATGCGCATGTTACGCCAGTTCCTCCTGGCGTCGAAGACGAAGAAATCTGGTGGTTTAAGCGGCGACTGGTGATGTACTGGTTTATTTCCTTCAGTTCGGATTGCTGACTGTAGTGCAAACAGCAATTTCACACCTACCTCTTCGTCGTGTGCGGGAGGCGCCGTCCCATTCTGCAAGCGCTTCCTGCCTCGAGGGCAAGAATGACATCGATGGCCGCAAATGACAAGGTACGTGATCATGTATTTCTGCCCATTCAAATGGTAAAAACCGTGACAGGCTTCCAGCGGCGACACTTTCGTCTGCTCGTTGAAATGGGTCCGGGGAGGTGGGACCATCGTGCTATGTATCGGGCGATCGCCCGCGTGCCGCTCAATGGACATGTTTGCGTAGCGTAGTGGCCCCTGTACGTTGTAAAGCCGCGGGCGTGCGGAGGCATGTTGTGCCACCGCGAAGGGCTCACTGATGACGAATTTGGAACCGTCATCGGCACCTCACGAGACCGTACGCCATGGGCGAACGTTTTGACAAGCCCGACCGGAGTGACTCAGCACATCTTACATCACTCCAACCGGAAGCACAACGGAAGCAAGCGCGGTGGCAACCTGATAGCCTCCGGTGAGATGGACTCTCACCTTGCTGATGCGAACACGTCTGATGGAAGTCTTCTTGAGGAGGGACTCGCCGCCCTCCATTCACCGAGGGTGCAGGAACGAAATGCCAACCGTAGGCTTGGTTGAAACAAGGCGAGCTCCCCCCTTGCTCCGCGGCCCAATCCGCATCGCGCGCGCAATCGAACGAGCGGTATCAGCGCCCTTCCCTGGGCCCATCGCTACCCCGACGGCGTGCGCGCGATCGCCCGCCCAGGCGAGTCCTTTCCTTGCCCTCTCGTACGCATACGTCACGCGTGCAACCGAATGAGCAGCATCAGCGCACTCCCCTGGGCCTATTGCTGCTCCGACGGTGCGCGCGTGATCGCGTGCCCCGGTGAGTCCTTGCCTGCTCACCCAGATACGTCGCATGTGCGACCGACCGACAGGCATCAGCTAACTCACCTGTTGCGGCTCCGAAGCCGAGTCCCTATCACCGCCCGCGCGCGTGGCCGTTTGCCTCCGCGGCCTTTGCATCCACCCCGCCGACCCGTAGTCGTAATGAACGGTTTTTTCCCTTTGCCCGTTCGCCTATCTGCGCGTGTACCTGGCCTTCGTCTTCCGTTTTTGACGTATCACGAGCGCGCCCTGGCGTACGCTCGACGCCCTCTGTGCCCCGCCGCTGCCCGCGTCGCCATGCCCCCACTGCCCTCCATGCCTCTTCTACACCTGCTTGTCGCCCCCCTTCCCACACCAGAAGCTGAGGCGCCGGACGACAGGAGTGCCATGGCCGAGAACCGATTGACAAGGAACGACATGGAATGGCTCGAGAGCCGTTTCTGGAGCGACGACGTCCAGAGATTGCTGCAAAACTCACCCCTCGCGCGGCTCAAGTATGTCGTTCACGGCGACCCCTACTTCGACGACGGCCCATCCCCGGTGGAAATCGGCAAATTCCAAGCTGCCTCGTACGTCTTGGTCAAAGCGTACCGAAATGAGAATGTGTACGAACTCCCTGCGGCCGTCTCAGATGAGCGAGGCTGGTTTGTACGACGACGCCAGGCATGATGTGAACTTTTATTTTACCATACACAGTGCTGATGACGCCCCACTAGCTCTTCCATACCTTCCTTTATACCTACGACCCCTGGCGGATGGTCGGACTCACCAGGGTGGAGGACGAGGTTACTTTGGAGGAATACAAATGGCTTCGTCAAGCTGCCAAGGACCCGATCGTGAAGTCCTCGTTACGCATGCCGCAGCGGCCTCGCTACGACTATCGGGAATGCGTCACCTGCGACCTTCATGCGCAAATTTTGGCTGCAAGCCTCAACACGTCGCTCCAGTCGTTGGACCCCACAGAAGCGCTGTCGCATTTGATGGTGTCCTGGTACTGCGAAGAGCATGCTGTTTCCGTCCCCGATCGCATTCTCGACGTCAAGCTGTGGTATTTCAAGCGACGCATGGTATCGTACGCCTTTCACAGCCTCTAGATTCGACACTCATGCTCTCTCTCGCAGATTTTCGAAGCGTACCTTGGCTGGAAATACGGGCGGTAGGCGTCGGGGTACGACGAGGGGAGGGAGCTTAGGACCCAGCAGCACGGGCGCAGTCCACGTGACCAGAATCGTTGTGTATATACTTCATTCCCCCCTCCGCCTTCACAGGCCTCCACCCTGCCAACTCCGATAGCGAACTCTCCATTTCGTGCCACGTTCCTTTCACGATGATCTCCCCTCGCCGCGAGGACCTGGCGTGGCTCCGCGCCGCAATTCAGCGGCCCGACATCCAGAGCCTTCGAAACCGGCCGCGCTCAAGGTTCTCTCTCCTGCTCTATGCTATCAACGACGCCGAAACCACCGAGATCATGCGCGCTCCCGTCATCCGCAAGATAGGATCCTTGGCGGCCTCGGCCCGCTCGCTTATGAGGGCATATCTCGAGGAAGGAGTCGATGATCGTCTCCAAGACGCGCCCCTCGATGACGGCCTTCTGCAGGCTCGCTTACAAGTCGGTCTTGTTTTTTGTTTTGATGCTTTCGATTTCTGATATTGAAAGCCGCAGCAATTCCAATACTTCGTGAGGGACATGCGGCGGAGGGGTGAATTCTGACGGCAAGGGCAGGGCTGGACAGCGCCGAGCGAAAGAAGGGTCGGTCGTAGTGGTCCGAGCGCATCATGTATCGACATTGTCATTGGTTTCAGTTTAAAGATCCGTCCGCAGTCGCCTTGCAGTCGCCAGCGCCGTGATGGCATGCAGGGAATGCGTCCGCATTCGTCAAGCGGATGGCGCGCCGACCCCAAGCCAAATGAAACCGCGCCCGAGCGCGCAGGCCATTGCATCAATGCTCCACAAGACCAATCGGAAGGCGAAGCGATCCGACTATGAACAGGGCTGACCCATCGCGCCCCACATGACGCTGACCAGAAACCAGTGCGGCAGCAACCTGACAGTACATGGTAAGATGGGCTCCAATCCTGTCGATGCAAATGAGTCTGATGAGATCTTTCTAGGGGAGGAACCTGCGGCTTCCATTCGGCGAGCACGTAGGTGATGACCGCGGGCTCTGACGCCTCTTTAGATAGGTTCCTGGGACACAGCTCGCCTGTGGAACGTCCTGCCCCACTGCACTCCTTCAGACCTTAGCACGCCGATCCTCTCTCGACTCGACTCTCGCCTACCATGGTCAAGAAACTCAATGCCAAGGAGGCCGCCTGGCGCGACGCATACGTCCTCACCCCTTCCATCCAGAACCTCATCCGCGCCAATGGGAAGAATCGCTACTCAGCATTGAACTACCCGAAGAGCGCTGAGCAAGAGCAGGCGTGGGCTGGTTTGAAAAAGGCGCCCCGGGGCCTTCGGGCCATTGGCCCTTTCGCGGCCGCCTCCTGCCTCATGATTCGAGCCTTTCGGGACGAGGGGATCTCCATACCAGGAAAGGACATCGACGAGGAAGAGTTCTACGAGACCCGCCGCTCGGTATGTACGACGTTTTATTTTCTCATGCTGGCTCTGAGAACCCTTCGGCAGGCGTTCCACCAGTACCTCCGGGATATGGTCCGGAACAACCATCACGAGCGGGAGCTCATCCCGATCCCTCACCTTGACCCTGCCAACCTCGCCTCAGGACTGGTTTCCAGACGTGGCGCATCCAGCGCGAGGAGGCCGAGCACGTGTCTCCCATCAAGACGCCGGCTGGAGAGGTCATCACCGACCTGTCCTCTGCGGCAGCCAGGGAATACTACGGCAACCTCCCCGAGGCTGTGCGCGCGCCCTTTGAAGAGGCCGCCGCTGAGGTCAACGAGAACCGCCCGGTTCTACAGCTAACTCGTGCACAGCGTCTTCGGTGAGCGCAACGATTTTACGCTGCCGATACGAGCTTATCCTGCTGCAGTTCCAAGGACGTGGTCCGAGACTACATGAAACGCTGCATCCAAAGGCTGCTACGGATGACGGGTTATGGCGGCATGTTCATCGTGGAGGGTTTAACGAACACGACGAGGTCAAGGTCCATGTGTGCGTGACGTGCAGCCTAATCCTGACATGCGCTAACCTCCCCTCACCAGCGCCACCGATGGGGTGAACAACAACAACGAATCCATGTTCCAGAACCTCGTCGCGCACGAGAAGAATGGCGAGCTCACAAGCGTCTGTGCGACCATGTTCGGATGGGCCAAGGAGTCGGCGGAGGGTGAGTGACTCTCGTGCTCTGATCCCCTCGGACGACACTCATTTCAAGACAGTCTCCGAAATGTTGACGGGTCCTCACACCGCTGAAGAAGGTCCCCGTGAGACAGGGTTCGATGGAGCGGATGCTGGGGCTTTAGTCCCTGCCGATGTCCCCCCAGCGTCCCTGCCTCAGACCTCCCCCGCCGTTGACAAGGGTTCGGCCGAGTCCCACGATGGTGCGTCGCCTCCTGGGATCGTCGGCGACGGCTCCGCGCTCCGCGAGAACGATCCGAAGGCCAATGGGGATGGGGATTCTGGAGAGGCAGGAGCGCCCTCGAGAAAGACCAAGCGTTCGGCACCGAAGTCCAAGACCACGCGTTCGGCGCCGAAGTCCAAGTCCAAGTCAGCCGCCACTCCCGTGGCCCCGCAGGTGTCTCGTCCTCGTCGTGCCACGGTCGCTCCGGGTCGTATCGGCCAGGATGGCGGGTGAGAGTGTACGCTGTCCTACGTATAGGCCGATATTAATTTTCCTCAAAGCGTTCGCCCCGTTCGTGACATGAACAAAGCCAAGATGGACGTCACCCGCCCTCAGGAGTCATCGATCCCCGACGGCCCCCCGAAGAGGTCGTCCAAGCGAAAGGCTGGTGATGACGGGTGAGGATCATTTCAGTGGTCGTTTCGGCTTCGGCTCACAGGTACATAGGACGTCTTCGAAGAGCAAGGCTGTGGATGACGCGTAAGTCCAATTTAGCTGGCGTTTTTCCATGACTAGCTGACAGGGACGTAGGGACAAGACGCGCGGGGCGAAGAAGCGCAAGGGCGTGAAGGCATAGAGGGCAGGCAGTTCTGCAAGCACGCATGGTGGCACGTTTCTCGTCTTGTCACATCGAGTACGGACGCCTCGGAACGATAGTCTATATGTTCAAAATGATATCGGCGCCTCACCTTGTGAAGTTTGGCACCGCCGTGCATGGTGCCGTCGTTTGCGAAATCAACGGCCGCGTCCCGGCAATATTATTGTCCGGGGGAATCCATCGAGTAGCAGCGTGACGATATTCTGCACCAGCGACGGGGCACGCCAAGAACACGTCCGTACCGTTTTGCTCTTCATTGTCTTCATGCCACGCTGACGCCTGGATCCTGCCGCCGCTGCATCCCATGTACGGCTACGCGCTTTGAAACGTCGAGCAGGCACAAACATACTTCCTTAACGGCACTGCGCGTGTTCCCTAGCTCCAGTATGGGCCTTGAGGTGGTCCGTGCTTCTTCCCTGTTGGTGCGTACTCCGGCTGACAATCCAGGTGACATTGTGCGCGCCTGTTCTCAGACACTGGGAGTTACACGGTATCAGTTTACGATGGATTCCGGTGCGTCTTTCGCCTTCTCTGTTTCCTCGCACTACCACGCACTATGAAAGGGCACATCGCGCATGCCGGCGATCCACGGGCAGCGGGCGCGGCGTCGGACCCACGTTCGTCGTCCTCCGCGGCTGGCCTGTGCATCTCTCATACCCAGCGCACCTCACCCTGCCTTGCCCTCCGTTCCCTCAGCTCAGGCGTTGGGCCTGTCGCCGTGCATCTACCTCCTTGAATGACGTATCTGAAAATGCTTTCCCTTTGCGCAGGTACCCTCACGACACAGGATGCTAGGCGTACGATGTTGGCGGTTACTACGCGACTGTGTACCGCCCAACCGTACCGTGCTCTGTTCGAGACCCGTCCACGGGTGCGCTGGGGGAAAGCGGCTCAGGTCTACGCGTCGTCCTATTACTACCCTCGAGTCGGACTCGGCGAAGACGACGCAGAGGATGCCTGCGTGTATGTTGTAACGCGGACGACGGGACCGAGATGGTGCACGATGTGATGGCCCTGGTATGCTAACATAACGATGACCGTGCACAGCAGGTCGACAGTTGCGAGCGGCGAGAACCACGGCAGGAAACGCGTCTCGAGGTCTGCACGCGAGGTCGTCGTGAGCACTACGAAGCGCGTCACAGAGCGGGATGCGTCCAGCATATTCACGAAGGGGGCCGTGGGCGGCGCGTAGAGGACGACCCGGAGCCACTGCCGACGATGACGGATCGCACAGTACTCACCATTGCCCCACACAAGCGCGTTCCACACGACTCCGACCATCACGATGCACCGTGGGAGGCTGTCCATGCTTGATTATGCCTGTATGGCACGTCGGGAGGTTTGGCAGCGCCGCCCACCTAAGCGCCATTATCACAGACAGGGCAATCATTAGCTATTTTAGTGCGGGCACGATATGTGCGACCGTCATGCTCCGTCATGCGTGTCGGGAGCAGCGCGGGCATGGTTTGGTTTGGCGAGGATGGGCCCTCCCCAGGACCGGGTGCTTCGGTGAGCGCATCTCTGGTCCCGAACCTAGCCTTCAACGCGGCGCGCACGTCCCGAAATGCAGCACGTGCGCGCTTACCTGTGCCTGTGGCTGCTGACGGTGGGCGCAACACGCCAGCCCCTTCGCCCTGTGCGCGCTTTTCGCACAGCGCCCCGCTCGTGACCTGTTAGCGCTAGCTTGCCGGACCCGCCTCATGGTTTGCGTGCGCACCCGTGGTGTAGGCCGCCATCTTGTCTCGACGGCCATTGCTGTCTCCAAGTCGCTATCTACACAACCATTGCCTACATGCCTCAACTTCCTGCTCTTCCGGAGCGCCAGATAGTGGCGGTGGTGTGGACCTCCGTAAGTCGTTCCATCTCGACGCCCAGCACGTCTGACCAGGATACAGCTCGACCCGCAGCGTATCAGCATCGCCGTCAATCCGCCCTTGATCCAAATCTCCCAAATCACGGCTCTCATCGAGATCCTCAAATATGACACCCAGGTAGATATATGGGACGGCAATTGGGTGAGGAAGACGATCATAACAGACACGATCGAAATTGAGGACACCACGCGAGCCATTCTGGCGCGCAAGACGACGGTGGGAAAATGTAGAGGGCTGGGCTCAGAGATAGCGGCCTGGGAGAGATCGTGGAACCCTGGTCGTCCTGCGATGTTAGCGCATGTGTGTTTGGGATCGAAGGGCCCGATTGGAACGATGGTCGTCGCATGGCTGGAGGTAAGCATTGCGACATGCCGTTGAACGGAACTGATACGACCTCAATCAGCCCGACAAGACGGCTCACCCCTACCTCATCTTCGTGGGCCAGACAAGCGGGCTCCCCTTCGGCGCGTTCCTCCACTTGTGCCTGGAACAAGTGAGCGCGACAGCGACAACCACCGCCCCGCTCAGACCAACGGCAGGCATGGGATGTCAGATTCAGTTCTGGCATCCTCAGATATCAACATGGGTTCAGGCGTCTGCAGAAAGCCCGGCGCCGAAGGGCCCCATCATCCTTATTCGAAACTCCGCCAATGCGTGGGCAAGAGACGCCGGCTACATGATGCAGCAATGGGAGATGGCTAACCCTCAGTACCTGGCCGAGCAATCTCAGACCGAGGTGCCTGGTTTTCCACTTTTGATACGATCTATATCGAATCTAATGGCCAAGCAGGGCGAGGATATACTGGCGCCGCTCGAGGCGGAGGCGCTAGGCGGGATGGCGGGTCGGTTGTCAAGGATCAAGGACGAACCGTCCAACGCTGAGAATCTCCTCTCCGCAAACCAAGAGTTTCTCCAGGCCGACGCGGAGATGGACGTGGAACTCGGGCAGTCTACCCCGTTTGTACAGCCTTACCACATCCCCGAGGGGGTTAGCTTCGAGGAGTTCCTTCGTCAGAGCATCGATGACTACTAGGGCCTTGGGCGTTAAACTACGCGAACATGTATCAGTGATATGTAAAAGGCGTGCGGATAACGCGACGAACATTATACACCATCGCATAGTCTCAATCGAGGATAGCCTCCGCCTGAAATGAAGAAGGGAAACACTTCCACCGTGCAGGACGCAACGGCAGGTGAGCACCGTATGCTTGAAACCGGCGCCACAATTGACACGGGTTTATCAGCTGCAATAGTGGCCAAAATTCCCAATACTACACTGCAGCAGTTGCTGCAGAGAGTTGTAGACTTCGCCCGAGAACCGTCGCGCGTCGCGCCTCCCAAACGCCAAAACAAAGTCGAAGGCGACCATACGATGGTCAATTGGAGCGCCCCCCAAGTTTCAGACGCTGGCACGCTCCGGCCACGACCCGACGCACAGGGTGGGCCCTTGGCCAGTCGACCGGTTCGTCGAACGGCGCGCGCAAGACGACCGACCCTGCGGGCGATGGGAGCTAATCCGTAAGCGCTTTGATATATTTCCTGATACCGCGCTAATATTTGCGCAGCGTCAGGTCAATCGAAGATCGCGCAAGGGCAGAAATTGCAGGTGAAAATTCTGGCGCAGTGAAGAAGCCGCACGTCGTGTGATACCGTAGACAGAAAATCACATCTTGCGTGTTCATGTGTGCACACGCCGGCATGGTGGTGTTTGCGCAGCATGAGGACGATCGACTCAGATCGCGCGAGGCGTAAGGCCGCAGGTGGGAAGTCCGACACAGGGTGAAAGGTGAGCGGCATCGAAACTCCCGTGCAACCAGGCCCATGTGGTCATATGAGAATCTAGATGAACCTGGGGATTTGGAATCGCAACCTCCGAGGCCAAGCCGAGGCCGATGCGGCCGACGAAATACGTGTCTCAGTAGACAGAATTTCTGCGGGGGAAGGCGGGACACATGTAAGGAGTCTCCGTCAGCCCATGCCCCAGAGAGGCGACCCGTGTTTCGTCTCCTGCCATGTCTCCTGAAGCACCCCTCCTCCCCCGCATCTACACCAACAACAACGGCGCCCAACTGTCCCAAGAGTACGTCGTCTTCAACGACATACCGGCCAAAAATCGCAGCGATGCCCTCGTCAAATGGTGCGAAGATGGCAAGGACGACCGACTCCCATTCCCAGGCAGCGTCATCGGTCGCGCGTGTCCGGGATGCAGCAAAACCATCACCCGCGCCCCCTTGTCGTACATATCGCACATGCGCGGTGCTGCAGGAGCTTGGTACTGCATCGTGCGTATCATCCCACGATCTTGATAGAAGTGCGAACTGACCGTCGACGATTCCAGTGCCCCTTCAAATGTCGCAAGGTTTGGTTCCCCCCCCAACCCGGCCCCACCGAGGGTCATCTTCGACTCATAGAAGCCCAGCGCTTCTACGACATGGCTCGCCTCAAGAAGCCGATCGACTACGACGATACCCCGGAGGTGGTCGAAATGCTCCAGTCCCTCCAGAGGGAGATCGGCCCGGCGGAATCGACGACCGCGGCCGAACCGGCGGTTCTCAAGAGCAAGGGCAAGTCGAAGGCGACCCCAGAAGTGCGTCCAGGCGCGCCTCGCAGACGTGCAGGGTCGAAGGCAAAGGTACCATGTTCCGTTATTAACATCGGTTTACTTCCGCGCTGACGTTAGTCTAGGCAGAGGTCCTCGGGGACCCTTCGGCTCGCAGGACGAAAGCGAAGGTGCGAGCGCATATACAATTCCCAAAAATCGCGCTTACGAGAGCACCCTCCCCCACAGGCCGAGACGACGTGCAGCGTCGTCATATGGAACCAAGTACGCGAGCTCGTGCAACGTCCTGGCGAATGCGGGCTGATCGCGCGCGTATGGGATAGGAGGACTGCCCACCGCGTTCTTTCCCGATGGCGGCGCCGTCTGGAAAGCTTAGCCTCAGCAAACACCCTGACTACAAGCGCATGGTGAACCCTGAGCACCGCTACGAGATTTTTGAATTCACCGAGCAGGCATGGAACATCTTCCCTAAGGGCACGGCAAGCATTCCCTCGAAGGCCAGTGGAAATGTCCTCCTTCGTAGGCGCGATGTACTCCGCTGTACGGACTTCGGCACCTATTTCACGCGATGGGAGGCGCAATCTGGCCTGCGCGGTGACGATGAGCTGATACAAACGCTGTTCGTCGACCATCACAACAACGCCCACGTCGCGTTGGTGTGGGACAAGGTGTGTGATGCCGAATCCATCGGTACGTGCATGGTGCTAACCATTTCGTAGGAGGACGCAAACCCCTCTGTCTATTTCTTGCCCGCAGACGAGGAGGTTCTCCAAACGAACGTCCTACAGCTTCGCCACGCCCGTCTATGGGACTCTTCGGGGACCGCCTGGCGCCGCCTTCACCCGATGGAGGATGCGACGTACTGGCTGAGGTCAGCCGACCACCGTGTCATGCTCTTCAAGATCGTCGACGGCAACCTCCCTGGCCTCGGAACCGCTCTTCACGGACTGGATGTCGAGGCGGCTGCTAATCACTCGCGTCGCATCAAGGTGCGTCTATTCAGTGAAAATCACGCACATGGCGCTGACTCGATATCAGGAGCACAAGGCGAAACAGTCGTCGGCGACTGCTCAAGCCTCCTTCGCCCTCGGATACACCCTGGGATCCCAGGGTGCATCTGCTTCGTCTCAAGGCGTCAGGATGGAGGGGAATCTCCATGACCTGACCGGAGAGGTGACAACGACGGTCAAGGTGCGTCACTCGGACTTTTTCCTTACTACTCACGCGCTAAACATACCGTGCTACACAGGCACTCTCTTCCAGGATGGCTAACACGACGCCGTCGGCAGTCCGTAGCGACCGCGAAGCAGGGCCGTCTTCTGGTATCGTGCCTACGTACGCTCGCTCGTCCGATGCATCTCTGTCGTACTCTGCTCGCGCCCTCTTGGAGGACGACGTCATTGAGCTCTCCGATTGATACCGCCGTCTTTTGTCACTTACATGTAACCTAGTTTCGGTATCTCACAGAACTGATGCGTGCGTTAGTAATACTGCTTACTGCATGTCCTATGCTAGCCGCTCCCATCTCACTCGGGAACACCCGGGAACCCTTCCCCGAGATGCCCGAACGCCGGCGCCCGGCAGCCCTGCCACGCCGTCTGGGGGGATGAGAGAGAGTTCGGTAAGGGCCGCGCAGCAACCGTATGGTCAGGAGCTATGATAGCGAGGCAGGCGGGGCAGTTGTTAGGTCGAAGAACGAAAGGCAGACGGTGTGAACTGGGGCAGATGGAGTGGGAACGGGACCGAGGGGCAACGAGGGGTCCTGAAGCGAAGGCGCATGCAGGCCGAGCTATGCCGCGTGCGCGCAGCAACGCGGTGGTGGAGACGTCCGACTGGCGCGCGCCCGCGTCGATGCGCGTTGTGTGGGGGATTGTCTGAGATAGTGCGCAGATATCGGCGAGGTGGCGGCGCGGGTACGTTGGCGATGGAACGGTCGGTGCGGCGCGCAGACCGGTGGAGGTGCGATTGCAGCCTGGTGGGGTGCGAGGGGTGCCGCGCGTGTGTGGCCGCGTGGCATGCGCATCAAGGGATCGTGACATGGGAACGCCGAGCAGCAGGGCGTGCTCATCGGCAAAGGATGTGAAATTCGTAAGCAACAGCAGCCCTAGCTCATTTTGCGGGGGACGTAGGGGCAGACGTGCTCCGGAGGCGGCATGCCGGGTGGGCAAAGCAAGAGGGGAGGGCGGGGGGCACGAGCGGATGGCGCACGACCGGTTTCCTCGGTGCCCGACTCATTCTAGTGACGCGGGATGCGAAGCAGGCAAGTGGGAAAAGGAGACGAACCTGCCGCAAGTGGCATGGCGTCGTGGGGTGTCGAGGTGGTGAATCACACAGGGTGGGGTGGGGGGGGGTGCGACCACTAACGAGTTGAACATGAAGGCTACTCGGAAAACAATTTACATAACTCGGCGTGACTGAGCTCCAAGACCTCACCGACCATCCCAATGCAGTCTTTAAGAATATCACGCGTCAGAGCAGCTCCTCGAACTACGTTTGTCAGGGACGTACCGAATCTCAATTCCACCTCTCCCCGGAGTGTACCGGTCCTGCCAACCTTTCCAAAAAATCCACGGACGAAGGCCAGGGAATATCCCGCTCTGATATTGGCATCCTCCCGCCAATATGCGCACGATCAGATGCGGGAACGCCATGACCTTCCTCGAGAACCTCCACCCGTTGGGATAGGAGCATCAGATTGGACACGAGGTGTACGTTTCGCTCTTGGAGGCGACTGCAGCGGGCTTCGGCGATATTTTCTAGATTGCAAAGGCGTTGACTCAAATTCTCCACGGCTTCCACCAGAGCATCATTCGTCGCAAGAACCCGCGCCAGAAGCGCACGACATTCCTGCATCACGAAATAATGCTGCTGCATGGAGGACACAAACGCGTCTCGATGTTGCTGGGGGCACTGCTGGCTGGCTTTAATTCGGACGAGGGTATACGGTACCAACGTACTCACAGGAACATATCCGCCAGGAAGCCGCCACGGAGGAATCCCGTTGGCCATGGGCTCGAGCACGTCGTCTTGTGCGGGGGCGTAGAGGGGGTCTTGTCGCCCAAAGGCGGTGAGAGAGGGGGCATCGTTGGTGGTTTGCTCGAGAGACATGAGGAATTGTAGTTGAAAGAGGAACAGGAGAGACTGGAGGGGGGATGATGACGGTACAATGATGGTAGTCCGGAGTTCGGAATTGATATCAGCAAAAGGGCGAACCGCGGGGTAAGCATTTCGGCGCTTGCAATAACGCGGGACGGTTGGTATTTACAACGCATGTGTAACGACATTGTAAAGAGCGGGATCATTATAATAGGCGCACTGCATTGTGAACATTGCATGATATTATAATGTCGGTTTGAGGCGTGGAAGGCTGGTCTGCATGGCGGCTTCAGACGCGCACGCTGCTCCACCCCTTGCACCATGCCTCTTGGCCCCGGCTTTTTCTCCTTGCTATCCTTCTCTGCACTCCGGCTTCCATTTGCGCACGAACTCTGTATGCATGTCACGCTCTCAGACCCTGTGTTCATTCCAGTGAGTGTTTAATTTCGTCCTCATGCGCATCCATCTTTCTGCACCCCACACCCCGAGACGATGTGGCCAGTGCCGTGACATCATGCGCGGCGTACAACTCGTGTGTACGTGGAACACGCCGAGGAGCGCGAGCGTCGTCGCAATCTGCCGCGCGTGGTGCTTGGGCGGGGGCGGCGCATTGGGGAGCTGCTGGTCCCGCTCGCTCGGATGAACATCCCGCTCGAGGGCGGGGGCGCGATGTCCGCAATGGGCGTGACGGACGTCGAGGCCGATGGAGTGCCCTTGCCTGTGAGGGTGCCCGTGCTCGTTCGCGTGGAGTCGGCACCCTTGCCCATGGTCGCGCGCACGAGGTGCGCTCCTCTTCGGGACCGGCATCAAGGCAGCGGACGCGTTGTGCTACGCGCTCGACTATTTCACAAACGACTCACTCGACACCGCGCTCAACAGCAACGCCTCCTGTTCCGTCGTCTCACCTAGCTTCACCAACTAGCCGTGCACCAGGAAGCGCACCACCGGGCTCATCCGCCGCGCCACACTCGCTCGAGGTCAAGACGGAGACGATACGCCCGAGCTGCATGCTCGCGGACCTCGACGCCTCGGACCCGTACACGCTCGAGAATGAGGCCTGACGCCGCTGCACCGCGCTCATCAGCATCGACAGCAATCGCTTGGGCATCCTTCCCCATCGGGCGTAGAGGCGGAGGACGCGCAGCTCGCTGGGCACGACATCGAGCAGGATGCCGGCCAGGCCTCTGTAGGGCGCAGGTGCGGAGATTCTTACTCGCCTTGTCTTGCCCACAGCCTACAACCCGCCCAGTGTCAACTCAAAAGCTGCACTCCTGGTTACCGCCCAGATGCATCATGCGACGCGACTATGTGCCACAAGTCGCCGTCAGCGACCCTCCAGCGGTACCCTCTCTCTTCTGGTGAGTCCCCCACTTCCTTGCTTCTTTTCCCCCCTCAGCTGAACCCCCTTACCCGACCGTATCTACCCCCGGGGTCTTCACCTCCGCCAGGGTCAACGACATGCAGCTTAATAGCACGCAGTGATCAATGAGAGCTCAGTCGGATGGAAGTACGACTATATAAGCACTGTACCTAATAGCACGCAGTGATCAGCGAGAGCTGAAGTAGTTGTAAGTACATTGATGTAGAATGTAAGTAGGGAGACATACCTCAGTCAGATGGAAGTACGACTGAGGAGCGGTGAGGACGACCGCGCGAGAGATCCTCGGGCGCGAGCGTTGCCGAAGCGGAGAATGAAACATAAGAGTCAAAGTAAATAAATGTCCGTAAGCGGAGTTGTAAACCATACTTCAACACGGCTCGCCCTCAGCCTCCTGCTCGTCTACGGACGAACTTCGCTCCTTTTTCCGACTCGAGCTAGTGGTGCCGTGTGCGTTTCACTATGAGTTTATCTGCTTGTTGATATGCTAGCTCAGCCTAGCGGTCATTTTAGCTTTGCGGTGGCCGCCTCAGCGCCTCACTTGGTGCCATGTGTTGCGCACGTACTTGGAGCGGTATGCGAGGGGTCCGTGAAGGTGATCCCTTCTCTTCCTCTCCATTGTCTCATACACACGTCCAAATGCCTTCCTCATCTCACGCGAAGTATGTTCTCACCCCCATCCGCATGCAAATACTTACTGGGCTATATTACAGCAGTCCTCCCTCCGGTTCTCGCGCATCAGTTGCGGTTGCGTATGATCGAATTCACAACCACTGTGGTTACCATCGCTCTTGCTCTCGCTCTGGCCGCGAGGGACGTGGCTCCCTCTCTCGGTAAGCCTCTATGTCTGAATTTTGAACCTTTGTCACTCACGCAATTAAGGTGCCCTGCGCGCGACTGCACCAAGACTCAACCAAGACTGCACTGTGCCGTGTGTGATATTCCCAGGGAGAGACGCGCGGACCTTGGCCCACAGGGCGTCCTCGCTCCTCATGACGCGTGCGACCCAGTTGAGAGAGAGAGAGAGAGAGAGAGAGAGAGAGAGAGAGAGAGCGGGTTAGAGAGATGCAAAAAGCTAGAGCGAGGAGAGGGGTCGAAAGAAAGAGCAAGAGAGCAGAGGAAGAAGTGAGAGTGCGGATCCGGAGTGAGCGCGTGGGTGCATGCGCGACGCGCGGGAAAACCAGGACGGGACCGGCCCGACTACTGAGGCGCATGCATCGGGTTCCGAGAAACTCGGAATTCCAAGGCGCGCGTGCAGGCGCGGCGGGACCGGCCCGCGCCAACAAGACCTGTGAGCGCCTCGCGCCGATGCTTCCTCTACGCTTCAGCTCTCCGGAAACAACTACAGCTGACACTGAGGCGCGTCAAGATGCACTTCGAAGGCGTCGCCCGTTGATACCTGTTCCACCAACTAGCCCTTCTCACATTCGCGCGCACACACAGTCCGCTCCCCCAGTGCCGCGCAGTAGCCGTGCGGATGGCGGCGCGCTCTCCTGGAGCCGTCCGCGTTTCACCTTGATGCGTCGGCCTCATGTGGTACCCTCGGACATCCAGCCGGGGACGGACTCGATACCTGCTGGTCACCGATGCACTTGCACACGGCGAGAAAGACGCGGGACATGGTATGTATGTCTACTGTGGACTGGCCTACACTGCTTATTCTGTACGTCGTGAACGCTTGCGCCCGGCCTGAGGAGCATTTTAATACAGAACACGTCAAGGGACAAACTCCGCTTTGCCTTATTTTCACATGTCAAAGCTCTTCTGAAATATTGATTAGCTAGTGAGCGGTGGCCAGACAAGGTACGTACGGAGTGTGCGAACGGACGTGCTTGAGGAGACGAAATATATTTGATGGGTGACATCTAAGTACTGTACATGACCGAACATGAACTAATACTACAGACTTTCAAGGTAAAAACGATGGACATGTGATTCAAAGCATTACGAAGAGTTAAGCTACGGTACGGTACGTTACGGGTTACTCGGCCTTCAAGCGGGCGCCTGCCACTGACGACGGCACATCAGGTTCCACTCCCAGTGCTTGAAACGCTTGGCTTCGAAATTGAAGCTGTTCACTATCCAACGCCCGATTCTGTGAAGTGTCTCGTCATCGGTCGCGCGCGCAGGATAGCGATGTACTTACAGGTGAGAGTGGTGGGCACTAACGTTCCCCCTGCCGTCGTGAGGCTATGAAGCCATGTCAGCCGTGCGCGCGAGACCGAATGCGAAACGGAACGACGTACCGCATGAAACGATTCAACGTTGTCGTTCGCGGCGAGCACACGGCACCTGCCCGCGCGGAATCGAACGATGATCGTGTTGTCCCGGCGAACCACCTCGGCACCGAGGCCGTAATGCAGAGCCTGAAGGCGAAGGTGAGCGCGGCGTGAGAGATAATGAACGGATTGCTCACCTCCTCGATGCGTCCAAGCGTCAGCTTGGAGTAGCGTGTGTGGATCATATCCTCGAGGACCTGAGGAAAAGGTAAGCACGCGCGATCTGCACCAGAATGAACGCTCACTTCTCTATGGTTGGGGTGCATCGCAGGCATGGTGACGAGAGCGAGCGAGAGAGCGAAGAGCGATGGAGAGAGCGAAAGAGAGAACGAGCGAGGGAAGTGAGGGGACAGAGGAACAACGCGAACTTGAGCGCCGCGCGCGCAGGCGTAGCGGAGGCGCGAGAAAACCGGGGCGGGGAGTGGCCCGGGCGCTGGGCGCGCGCACAGAACCCCGGAGTCCCTGGACGCGCCTTGTGGGTGCCCGGGATGAGATGAACAGAAGATATCACTGGAAATAGGAGAATGTTTACCGGTGAGTCCGGCCAATGTACCTTGCAGTGGCCGCCCAGAATGAGTGGTATCCTCTCTCAATGACAGCGGGAGCGGACGTGCTTGGGGAGAGGAAATATATTTGATGGGTGCGACATACAAGTACTATACAGGACCGAACATCAACCAATACTAGAACTCTCAAGATTAACACGATGGAAGAGGGGTTCAAGGCATTACGAAGAGTTAAACTACGGTACGTTACGTTACGGGCTACTCGGCGTTCAAGGGGGTGCCTGCCACGGACGACGACAGACGAGCTCCCACTCCCAGTGCTTGAACCGCTGGCCTTCAAAGTTGAAGGTGTTGATAATCCAACGGCCAATTCTGTCACAAGTATCGTCGACAGTCGCGCGCGCAGGGTGGAGATGGACTTACATGTGACAGTGGTGGCCGCTAACGTTGCCCAGACGGTCGTGGGGCTGTCGAGCCATGTCAGCGCGCGCGCGAGACAGAGTGCAAAACAAAACGACGCACCGTATGGAACTTCTCGATCTGCTCGTTGGCGCCACGCAGACGGCATCTGCCCGCGCGGAATCGAACATGGATCTTGTTCCCCCGCCGGAAGGTCTCGGCACCGAGGCCGTGGTGGAGAGCCTGGCAGGCGAAGGTGAGCGCGGCGGGCGAGATAAGAAAGAGAGAGCTCACCGCCATTATTCTGCCCACCGGAATCTCGGTGTAGCTCGTGTGCATCATGGCCTCGAGGACCTGCGGAAAAGGGTAAGCACGCGCGATCTGCACCAGAATGGAACGCTCACCTCTCTGTGGCCGGGGTGCATCGCAGCCATGATGACTGCAGCGAGAGAGAGAGCAAAGGGAAGAGTGTGAAGAGCGAAGAGCGAGGGAGAGAGCGAGGGAGAGAAGTGAGGAGACAGAGGAACAGCGTCGCGAACTTGAGCGCCGCGCGCGCAGGCGTAGCGGAGGCGCGGGAAAACCGGGGCGGGGAGCGGCCCGGGCGCTGGGGGTGCGCAAAGAACGCCGGAGTCCGAGAAACTCGGACTCGACAGGTCCGATCGTTGTCCCGGAGGTGAGGTTGACGAACTTGTAGGAGAGGGTGCAACGAAATATATTCAAAGGATGTTGTAAGTTGATAAATACAAGTGTTGTCGCTAATGAACCATCAAATCAACGGGTGGAACTGTATGTAGGACACGCAAACGTAACGTACGCGACGTTGAATGAGAAAGCAAGAATTAAGACTGAAGGTGCTACGTTCCGATTCATCCAAAGTTCTACTCGTACGCTACCTAAACCGGCGACCAGTCCTTGGCACAGAGGTCGAGCCAGGCAGTGTTATCCCAGCCCGTGATGTGATTATTGAGTCCGATGAGGGAGGCGACTGAGACTCCCGAACTAAAACGGAAAGTCAGGGAGAAATGAAGAACGAGAAACGGCCATACGTACATGCGAGCGTTGTGAGCTGGGATTTGATCTGGCCGGTTGTCCGTCTTGCCCTTGGCCCCGTTGCCGCCGTGGGGCTAAGCGGATCCCTGAGTTTAGATGCGCTCTCTAGAACTAAACGACGCACCTTGTGGAAGCCGACGGTTGCGAACTTCTTGAGGTCGAAACGACATCTCCCAGGCGTGAAGGACACCTTCACGGTGCCCCCGTTTTCGTGAACCTCGGCCCCCAGGCCGAGGCGCATAGCCTGCACCAGGCGCAGTTAGCCTCGCGATACAGAACTGACTTCTTCTTACCTGTACCAGATCCTTGGTTGGGACCGATTGCAAGACCGGTCCGTGCATGAGCGTGTACAGAGTCTGTGAATGGGGGTCAGAAGGGCGCAAAGGGAGGAATGAACAGGCTGCGCGCACATCGCGATGCTTTTGAAGCATGGGCGGCATGTCGTGTAGAATAGGTGGAGGTGGTGGCGGGCAGGGGAAGGAGGCAGAGGGCAAGGAATCGGGGGCAGCGGACGAAGCGGAGGACGCGCGAGGACTCACGAGGACGAAGGCGCCGGCGGCGCGGAACGCGAGCGCGACGCGACTCCGAGGAAATCGGGATCATTAGACGCGTTCCATCCAAGACGCGCCACGCCACGCCACCGGGGCATAAAAACATGTCATATAATTTAACAGTGGAAGACGGAAAAGGCCCTTTGGAGCAGTGGTAACGGCGTCGGGTTGCTCGAACGCACCACGGGTTCGATACCCCGCGATGGTAAATTTTTCGTCTGTACGACTAAGACTTCCAAAGGGCAGGTAAGTACAGGTGTGATATATACAACAGTCCCGTCTACTAACTGAAAACTAGTTCGATCGAAAACGCCGAGCACGGCGGTGATCCGGGGCATGGTGCGGCGTTCACGGTGCGCCCAGTGACCCATCGCTACAGTAGCGCCGAATCACGCTCACGGGACCGTGGGCTCGCACGTAATGGGCGAAAGCGCTCATCGCCTGTGGCCCATGGGCGCCCATCGGCTGTGCCCATGCCGCCCATGCCGCCTGCAATCCATGTCGTCCGTGTCGGCTGGCTATCCACGTCGCCCGCGAAGCCCACGCCATCTGCGTCGCTTCTCCCGTATCCATACACGGTCCCAGCGGCCACTTGCCGGAGGAGCACGTAATGTAGTTACTGGATTCTTGTACGTATAGCATCGTACTTTTAAACACACTCTCGTTTGCTCTCTATCAAACATGGACGTGAAGCAAGGTTGAACCGGGGGTGAAGACGGCGAGCTATGTAGAAAATCTGTCGGCATGCGACCGGAGCATATGTACAGATGCGAAATGGCTATGGGACGAATTATGAATGCGTGCATCCAACCACAATTCATGGGTCATATGGATAGCGCGAGAAATATGACGTGCACGCAATATAACCACATATTTCACGAAGTTGAAGTATGGCAGATGTTACGGTGACGGCGCTCCCCCACACACGAGCTGCAGGCACAGCGACTCCCTGCTCACGGGCTGTGGACACAGCTATCCCCGTACGCAAGCTGTGTCCACACGCATGAGCTGTGTCCACAGACATTTGCCGCTCGCTCGCTGTGGACACAGCGATCCCCTGCATACAAGCTGTGGACACAGCGATTCCCCGCATACAAGCTGTGTCCACAGCGATCCCCCGCATACAAGCTGTGTCCACAGCAACTCCCCGCGCACAAGCTGTGGACACAGACATTCGCCACTCGTTCGCTGTGGACACAGCGATCCCCTGCATACACGCTGTGTCCACAGCAACTCCCAGTGCACAAGCTGTGTCCACAGCGGTCCCCCGCATACAAGCTGTGTCCACAGCAACTCCCGAGTCCCCGCGCACAAGCTGTGGACACAGACATTCGCCACTCGTTCGCTGTGGACACAGCGCACTCGTGGGGTCTCGTATGGAGTTGATACAAGGATTTCGACAGATATTTTCCAGCCGTGTGTGCTTCTCGTATAGGTAGGTGGGCTGGAAACAAAGATATATGCATATACGAGGACCTCTTAATCTGTTAGTCCAAACTACGTTCACATTGGTACATTCATAGCGGTGTCATAGTGGATATTGTGAGACGATCACGTCCATAAATACATGGTATTATAGCCCATGGGCAAAGGCGTTGACTGACATATGTATAATGGATATTTTGTCGCCAGGGAGTGTGGTAGTATCGTATTGTTGGGTTGAGAGAGCTGGGTATATAATATTTACTTTTCAATATACTATAGGCCAAGTAGCCGGGTTGGATCAGCGTCTGAAACTTACCTTTGAAGGTGGCGATGCACGAGTTCGATTCTCATGCCTCCCATTCCTTGTCTATCCTACTGTTTTATTTGGCGCCTCCATCAGCCTCACCCACATAGTAAACTATTGACGATGCTAATGTGTTTAGTAGTGCATACAGTGTTGTAGTGGATCTTGTGTCCACAGCTTTGCTGTGTCCACAATGTGCAGCTTACATAGGATCTGTGGACACACTGCCACTGAGTCGCCTCACCCGAAGTCGTCGAAGTCATAGAATCACGCACACCCTCGTCCTCGATCGCAGAAGCTCATCGCGAACCACATCCAGTCCACGCACCACTCAAGGCATCCATCTGTGGCGTCAAGGCCCAGGGAGACGCTCTCGAATCACCGCGCAAGTGGGCTCCATGGTATCGGAAGCCGGTCGAGCACGCGGTGTCCGCGGCGAAGCACTGCCACGCGACATGTCCCGCTCGCGCACGAGCAGATGGAGGTGGGGTCCGAAATCAGCCTAAGAAAGCTGTATACACGCGGTGACACGTCCGCCGCGTCGATCAGCCGAGTCGCCTGGGGACTGCAACTCAAGTCAGCACTGCATCCTGATCGCACCTATCTGAAGGCTCACCGGATTGTGGAAGCAGATGCGTAGCTCATGGACGTATCTTTCGCGTACGTGGCCTGCATCAGACTCGAGTCTCGCATTGTGCAAACGCGCGGCAGGCCCGAAAGCCTACTCGCTGACCGGCTCGGCTCAGCAAACCTTGTGTCGCGGACGAGAGAGATGCGCAGATTTCGAGGAACCTGCCACTGCACACACTGCCAGGATTGGTACACTATTCGCGCGAGAAGTAATGAGTGTACTCACCAGTCGGCGTCGTCGTCGTCGTCGTCGTCGTGTCAAATGCCCACCCTTGACGGCCTCACGTGCGGTGTCCGTCGTCCCTCCAGCTCTCCACCGCGCTCCGCACATGCGCTCCCGTCTCGTCCCCCGACGACGCACAGCTATTGCCATCCGAGACGTCGTCGCAGTCGAGCGCCTGCGCGGGGGTGCATGACGTTACGCGCAAAATCAGCGGGGAAGAGCGATGTGGCGAACCACGGCCATTCACCGCCCGTCGCGGTGGGAGGGTAGCGCGGCGAAGATGGGTGCCAGAGATGTGGTTCAGAAACGGATGAGATGAGGACTCACGGCGATGCTTGATGATGACATCGGAGAAGCGCAGCTGCCGCGTTGGGAGCGTATAGCCGGGGTCTCTTGTGGTCCTCCTCGAGTTCCCTTTTGGAGGGACACCACATGCTGAAATTGTGTCTGTGCCGGCTAGACGGCCTGCTAGAAAGGAACTCAGACATAAGCTCTGCCTCGCCTCTTACTGGGCCACAACCCGTACGTTCTGACTGATTGGTGAGAAGTATCAGCAGATCGAAGTGGCCCGTGGGCCAGAGCGCCTCCGGTGGCACGATGGCGTTCGAGCCGCGCACGAACGCACGGAGGGAATGCTACCGCGTGGTGTCGAGGACGAAAAGCTTTTGATGGAGAGCGGGGAGAAGTAAGCACAGAGATGCACGATGTGACCTCCTCCGGGGCTCTCTGACCTTCCGCCACGAAGCGTTGAGGAACATGCCCGCAGACCCCCACCGACACGGGATCTCGTCCTCGCCCTCGAGCTCCACGACCAGCGCCATGTGCGCGTCCAACAGCTCCAGGCAACCCGTGCACCTCGAAGGTGGTGGGCGCGAGCCGGCGTAGTGAGAGCGAGACGACGGGGAGCGACGGTACGGGTCGAACGGGCCGCACCGAAAGTGCACGCGGCCACGACGGGAGAGTCACCGACTGGATGTATGATGGGCGCACGTCCGAGGGCGCGGGGGGCGAGTGAAGGTGAGCGAGCTGCGTAGACTCGCACGGAAGCAGGAGCAGTGTGGGATGCAGAGAGGAGTCGGAACATGAACACGCCATGCATCGCGTACGTTCCAGTCTCTGTTTCATATAGGAAAGCACCAATTTCGCCGTCCTTCTCAGTTGACCTGGTCCAAACCCGTGCGTTAGCCCTTCCCTCCTCGGCGCTCGCACATTCGTCCAATCGGTACCCTTTCCCTTCATATCCAGCCGACTTTTCATCGCCCACAGTTCGTTCTTGTGATCAAATGCTTGAGGAAATGAGATTGGGTGTTCATACAACAAGCGACACGAAGACGAAACAAATGCATCCACGCACTGGCTCGAAGAAACCCGCCAACGCCCAGATTGGGGAACGCACAAGGAGAGACTCACCATCCAGCGTGGTCGCCCGGTCGAAGCCCGCAATTTGGACCAACGCGAGTGCCCGTTCGCCGTCCCCTCTCCAGAACCGACTTGTGCCCGCTCCTCTACCCACTACCCCCGCTGATCCGGCCTCGTGCTCCCGCATCCTGGGTCTTGCAAACGTCGCTGCGGTGGTCTGTAAGTCGAGCGGCAGGTGCCATGAGGAAAGGACCGGGGCACGGCGAAACGGCGGCTTCTGAAGGCGGCGAAGGCTTGTTTCGGGGACACAGGTATTGTTGAACCGGGCCATCCACCCCTAAAGCTGGGGGACGATATAAGACGGCGTAAAAAACGAGCACAAGGACACCCACCGGAGGAAGCCTCCATTCAACACGGGTACACTGCGAGCCTGTTGGAGCCTTGCGAGGAGGTTGTTACGCCTCTGCATATACATCGACAACTCGAGCTTGAAGCCGTGCAGTGCAACTTGAATGCGAGAGCTGAGCAGTTGTCCGTTTAAAAGGGTTGGATTGCTGGGGAAACGCAGGGCGTGCAAGGTCGGAGAAGAAGATGCATGGCGGAGATGAGGAAGGGGAGAATACGCGTAGACGCCGATCCAGCTCTCCCGTCGCCCGGGCGACTCCCGGCTCTCGAGACTCGCTTGCGGCGGCCTGCGCACGATGCACTCGTCCCCCTTTTCCTCCCTGCTCCCGGCCACCCCTGCCTCTGCCTGCAGCAGCTAGACACAGACAGCTCACCGGCACTCCCTCCATAAGTAATCAAGGTCCCGTCTCGAAGGCCCATCCCGGACGAGCTGTGAGTCCGCGCCTCGAAGATGAGCTCCCTCTCCCTTCTCTCTCTCCACAACGAGATCCTTCTCGAGATATTGTCCCTCCTGGGCCGCGGCGATGCACTCGCGATCTCTTCCACGCACCAGAGCCACTCTCACAAGTCCCCCGCGTCCAGCACCTCCGACATTTCACCCTCCACCACTTTCTCAGCGTCGATGTTCCTCCTCTACGCAAACTCCTCAGCCAGGCCTCCAACCTCCGCATTATTGAGATCCACAGCTTCGAGTTGTTCGTACACCAAGCCGGAATCCTCGTAGATGCTATCGGCGCCATGCACAACCTCGAGCAAGCCAGTCTGATAGATGTCGGTCCTGAGACGGTGGCTGCTCTGCCGGAGATCCTCTCGAGCCGGTACTTGACCTCATTGACCCTTGAATTCGACGAGATGTACTTTGGGCCTGGTGGCATCGACCTCGAGGATCTCGTGTCCGGCCTCGCCTCCATGCAGAACCTACACACCCTCACCCTCATCTCGTACCTCGTGTCTACGAATTCCCTCCGACTGCCTGATGCAACACAAACCGTCCTTCCCTCCATTCGCCACCTTTCCTTCTGCTGCCTTTCTCAGACCCCCCCTGGTATCATACCCCTGTGTCCAAACATCATCACCTTGTCTCTTCGGCTGAATGCGGAGGGACAGCGCCCCGTGATCCTTTCCATGGCAGATGAAGACCGATGGCCCACCGGACTCAAGCGGCTCGACGTCCTCTCCCCTGTGTTCATCCCGGCTGCGAGGCGCATCGGGCACGTCGGATCGTTGGCATTGGGGGAGGTCTCCGGCCTAGAGGTCTTCTCCGACTTCTTCCAGCTTCCGTTGACCGTCCGGCCCACTGCCCTCGAGCTCCACACGACACCCACAATTGCGGTTCCGCGTCGTGTCTGGGAAACACTGTGCGATGTCGCGCCCGGGCTGCGCTCGCTCGAGGTCGTGGTCACGTCGGGGGAGTGCGATGTGCGCGAATACATGGTCCTTCACGCCCCCGCCGCATCTTCCCCTCGCTCCTTTTCCCTGAACGCTGAGGACCCTCGCGCCTCACTCAGGAGCCGCTCCTCGCCGCACTGCGATCCGCCCCCCTAGCGCTCGTTCACTTTTCCCTCCACTTCCCGCCGACCACACAACGCCATCACGCGTCGAGCATAGCCCAAGTGGACGGCTGGCGCGCGGCGGAAGTCCGCCGCGTCGAAGCGCTCCGGCCGCTCTCTCTGCGGCTCGTCAAGGCTGTCCCGACGTTCCGCGTCCTCTCGTGCTCCTCCTGTCTCCCCGGATCCACAGGCTTCGACACATGGCGGGCGCGGGCGCGGCACACGGACCTCGACGCGGGGGTGAGGGCGGAGCTCGCGCGCGAGAACGTCGTCGAGCGGCGGTGGGGGCCGGCGAGCGAGTTCGTGAGCCCCGCGCTGCGGAGGCTGAAGGAATTGTGGACGGAGATCCCGCGCGACGAGCGGTGGTGGTGGGTCGAGGGCGACGGCGCGGCTAGCAGACCGGTGGAGGTCTGGAGGGAGGCCGGGGAGCAGGCGCGCGAACACGCGAACTTTGACCCTACGAGCAGCCTCGATGGTGAGCGTTTCATCGCGCTCGAGGGGTCCGTCGTGCACGCGGGAACTGGTCCGTTCTGTCTGCAGGGTTTTATTCCGCGAAATGCTGGTATGAGCGGTAGCTCGCCGTATAGACGTATGGAATGCACACCAGCTAGAGGTGGATGTGCGGTATGCACCTCAAACCAAAACGTGGCAAGCAGCTCCTCAGGTGCGCCGTCGCGCGACATATCACGTTTCGCGCTCCGACTTTGATTACGACTTGGAGGGAGCGGCGCGGCGGCGAGGACAGAGGGATTGGAAGAACTGTAAGCTCTCCCAGAGACACGAGTCCCAGATATCGTTTCTTCCTGATCCCGGCCGGGCACGGACCATACGTCCGCACCTTCATGCAACGCGCCCGCCGCCTATGCACCCTTCTCCGCATTTTGACCGCATCCCGCGCCCCGCACGTCCTGTGGAGCCATCCTCGGCGCCGAGGGAACCTGTGCACACGTACCGTCTCTCTCATGTAGACCGGTACGATCTCCGGCTCGGACGACTTGCACGACTCCCTCCCGCTTCCCAGCTCACCGGCCACGAACGTCACACGTGTCCAGACATGCCCCGCCCAGAGCGTGTCCGGGACACCCCCTTCTCCCCTGCGTTCCGTTTCTGCTCTCTAGAGATCGTGACGGAAAGCGGGTGCGGCGCGCGCGAATACATGGTCTGTTCCCTCCTCGTCCCGAATTTTGCCGCTGCTCTGTACGACCTTCTGCAGCGCCCGGTCGGCGTCCGAGCTCGTCCGTCTCTGCATGTGGTAGCGAGGAGAAGCCGTGGGACGATGGCGATGCCCGGGTCGTAGAATGAGCCCAGTACATATTGGAGTGTAGATGTGGAGCGTATCAGATATCCCAGCTGCATGGCTGCGCTGCGCGGAGTGGCTGTCCTCAACGGCACGACCGAGAGTTGGTTGTCGTGGGCTGCTCCGCATGCTCGTGACTTCTCCTCCTCCACACGCCTGACTGGTGACGTATTTTGCAAAAACAACGTCCATTCCCTATTGACCCGGGCTACAGTTGTGGTGAAGTGAACGTACCCGCTGAGGATTTCCCACATAATGCCTGATACTCGATGTTCAAGCCGGTTCAGAATGCATATCCTCGCAGGAGGATGCCGTTCGCCAGCAGCCGAAACGGAGGCGCAGCTTGGAGACCCACTTGCTCTAGCGTGTGGGAACGTTTTTGTATACCGGTCGGATGTCGCGTGTACCGTAAATATCGGGGTTTGAGTGGACTGTCGGTGTGAAGGTGGATCATCCTCTCAGTGTACGTTCTCTCGCCGGACTGGCATTGGTTCTCACTTACGACACATCACAGGATAAGGGTACATTTGACAGCAGTCAATGAAGTATATAAAGGTTGAGGCCGCCCCCGCTGCCCCGCAGACTCCGAGCATCGACCCGCTTCCACGAGCCGACTCTCCCATTCATCCCGCACACCATGACCAGTGTATACGCCCCCGCACCTGAACCTGCGACAAGACTCGGCCGGTACCGTCAACTATCTCCCCTCGCCGCGTGCGCGTGTCGCCCATCTGCCTCGCGGCAATGAGCATCGCGACAAGTGGGGAAGGTCATCGGGAGCTACATGGACAAGGACATGAGCTTCGCTCTCCTCGACACCTTCTACGGCGCCGGGGCAACTTCATCGACACCGCGAACAACTACCAGGACGAGAGCTCGGAGGAGTTCATCGGCGAGTGGATGGAGGCGCGCGGCATACGCGACCAGATCGTCCTCGCGACCAAGGTGCGTTGGGGTCGCGCCATTCGTTATCAGCTGATGGACGCGCGTCACAGTACACGTCCAACTTCAAGAGGGGCAAGACGACGTTGTGCAGAAGATCAATACATCGGCAACAACAGGAAGTCGATGCATCTCTCCGTGAATGCTTCGCTCAAGAAGCTCCGCACGAGCTACGTCGACATCCTTTACGTCACTTCGT